GTAAGGGGATTCCCGAACAAAGGACACCATGGGGAGGTTTGGTCTCGGGGTCATTCCATTTCTCATTCCCTGCATATCGATCGAGCCAGTTTTTGTTTTCGTTTGTTTCCCGTGGCCAACCCGAAAGTTTCAGCGAGAACGTCTTCTTCTCCTTTTTTGAGGCTCATGAATCCCGAGGGAACTGACCCTATGAAGTTTTGGCGTCCGTCCTCTGAGTTTTTGGGGACCGGCTCCCGTGGTGTCCCGAGTGTGTTGTCCAATTTGCATCCAAGGTCGCTACAGCTCGCAGGTGGAGTTCAAGAACCCCCCGGAACGATTCGGACCCCTCCCTGAAAGCTGCCCTAAACCACCAACCAGAGCCTATTTCGGCCTATCGACCCCAAGGTCTAGGTGCACCTGCATTGCGTGGGATTGTTTTGGCTCAAATCGCCGGGTACAGATTTGCTTGGGGAAGCCAGAGAAGCACAGAGCCAGAGAGGAATGCAAGGCCACAGAGGCCCGCAAAAGGCCATCTGCCTTTCCGAATGTTCCCGGCGCGTTTCTCATCAACGAGCCAGTGCATACCCGCTTTCTGCGTTTAAGAAGAAGTGCCAGCCTCTCTTGCAACCATTTTGGTCTTGGGTGTGTAACTAAAAAAACACAAACCAAAAAGCAAACCAACAAAAAACACACACACACACACACACACCAAAAACAAAAAAAGCAAAGCAAAAAACACGTTGAACACCTTCCGCAGCGGCGGATTTTTCCGGCGGCCGCGCGGTGCCTCGATCGGACGGCCCATGGCTTGGGCCACGCAGGCCGCGAAGGCGAGCTTTTGTCGCGCGAGTCGCGAGCGGGCGGGCGATCTGGGGAAAGGCTTGGCTTGGCTTAGGGCTCCTTACAAGATCTCCATGTCGCCATGTGAGTTACATGGTGCCTTTTCAGCACAAGGGGAGAACCAAAGAACCATTCTTGTGAAAACTCCAAACGACCAAAAACAAGGGAACCAAAGCAGGGCATTTTCCAAGCATTTGAACCCATTTGAACCCTAGAATTGGAATCAACCCCTAGAAGAGGGCTTCTTCTACAGGGCTCCTTAAACTAAATTCATTTTGCCACCAATTGAACCATGGTGCTTTTTCAGCACCAAAATAAGGGGAAACCACCATTGACGAGATGCAATGTTCAGGTGCATAATGTAAGGATCCCTGTAGGGAGACCAAGTTTTCTTTGGTGCATCTTGCTTGGATGTTAGGACTGAATAACTTTTTGCCAACTAATGGGCTTTCCCCATTAAACCACTAAAAGTTAGACCTTTAGCAGAGGAGCAGAAAGCAACCAAGTTTGATTGGTGTTGGAAGGGGAAGCAAGTGGAACTCGGCATTTGGGTCCTGTAGTTTTGGTCTCTACTCCTAGCTGTGGCCTGATATTTGTGTTTGGCGGGCGTCGTTTGGAGTAGGTGGTTCGACACGCGACTTTCGTTCAAACACAAAGTCGGCCTGAGCCAACTTTGATGACCCCCAACAGCAGCAAAATGTGATGGTTTCTGAGACATGGTCGAATCCCTCTTGATCTTCAACAGCTACACTTTTCAATGCTCAAGGTTCGCATTGAGCAAAGGGAGGGACGAACAAGAGACAGATCAAACATCGTTTGTGTACCCCGCCCAAGCAACCCGTTCAGGCCCGCTTGAATAGGCTCTCATTCCTCAGTGAAATCCACTGAAAGCCTTACACTTGAAGAATGAGCCTAAAGGCTGTGTTGTCGCTCAAAACTTACAATCCCATCATCGCGCATCATACCTGGCAGTGCCTAGTGGATCTGTGGCCTTTGTTTGTCATATGGCCATGGGGTATAACCTTTGGCTCCATTTTGGGGTGGATGAACATCCGTTTGCCTATTTTGACGTTTACCAAGGGTACAGGGTTTTGACCCACAGCCATATCAATTTGGTGGAACAAAAACCATTTTGATTTATTGTTGCCCATCTGGTGCTGCAGGTGATGGCTGCACCAAGCAAGCACAAACACAAGCACAAGCACATGCAGAAGCAAAGGCACAAGCGCAAACACACACACACAAACACAAGAACACAAGAACACAAACACAAACACACACACAAAGCAAGAAGCACAAACGCAAGCATAGCCGCAAGCGCAAGCACAAGCAGAAGCACATGCGCCAAAACACAAGCACACAAACACACACACACAAACACAAACACAAGAGCACAATGACACAAACACAAACACACAAACAACACACAATCACAAGCACAACCACAACCCAATCACAAGCAATAGCAGCAGCGCAAGCACAAGTACGGGCACAAACACAAACAGACAACACACAAACAGACTACACACACAAACACCAGTACCACTCGCTTGTCTCTGGGAGAACTGTTGTGCGACGTTCCGACCTTTTCAGGTGCGGACAATCCCGGAGGCTCGACATGATCGGCAGCTGCTGAACGACACCATCCTGTCCATCAAGGCGTCTCCGCAGTTTGGCGCGGCAGTTGGGGGGCCATGTGGCCATGGGTCAAATTCCCTTACCGCCTGTAACATCCCAATCCCCGCCAATTAAAATAGACAAAAATGGGGAGTGCACCTACCCCAAAACGGTACCAAAACGGTTTTGACCCACAGCTGTGTGGCTGTGTGTCGTTCTTTGTGGCTGTGTGTCTTTCCTAGGTTTTTGAGTAGTGCCCTTTTACCCTTTTTTTGGGGGAGGGTTCCCCTACTAAAATAGACTACAGAAAAAAAAGGGTACCCTTATTCTAACTTCTCTACTGGAGGACCTAGTTTCTCTGGGAGAACCATACGTGACTACCTTCAAACAAGCCAGTCCAATTAGCAGGGAGGTACCTCCCAGGTTGGGTGTTCTAATTCTGACGAGCCCAGGCCCCTAAAAATGCGGCAGAGGCTCAAAACCCCAAGAAGCATTTTCGTAGACGGTTGTATTTACATACGAATTAACAGATTGAAATTATTCAAATTACTATTCAAGGTAGAGATTCTGCTGGCATTCTTTCCTTATCAAGTTCTAATTGAGTTCTCCTTGGACGATGCTGTTCAAATCCTTCTGGCAAAGGAACCCCCCTTTATAAATTCCAATTTGAAATAAGAGTGCCAAATTGAGCTCCTCTTCAGAGAGGACATTATAATTGAAGCTAGACATGATACTAGAGTTCTGTCCTTATCAATTCCTGCTTAAGTTTTGATTAAACGATTGAACTATCCACATGGGAAAGGATATAAATCTTTCTAACTAATTCCTAATTGAAGTCCCTTTTTTAACATTTAAGTTCTAGTTGAACCTAACATTTGTCTAGTCTGTTTTATCCTTACATTGAACACATCCTCTTGAAGGACTCCCACCTGTGAAGTAAACTCGACGCCGCGTGGCCCGGAAGCATTGAACCACGCAGCAATGTAAGCGCTCAAGCGTAGCTTCTGCAAGTCCCATGAGCATAGCGTCATGCTGCACAATGTCTCCTGTGAACTTCTCTTGTGCACGCTGATCGAGAAGCGTGTGAAGCCGCGCATGAAGCTGCTTGTGATGTTGCAGATGCCGTGCATGATGCTGCCTGTGACGCCGCGCATGATGCTCTGCCATCTCTCTTGCCCAATCTTTCACCCTCTCTTGTCGCGCTCTCCTGTCCATATGGGTGTGGCTGAAAGTTAAACAGGAGGGGCAAACCGCAGGTTTTGGTCCATGTCTTCACTTACCACTTTTCCATTTCAGTATTTTTTTTTGAGCCACAGCCATGCGCAAAGTTTGGGGCTGCGGGCTGACGGTTCAAGTTTGGCTTCGCGTGCTACTCTTGTTGCGATTTCGATTTTTTTTGGAGCTGGGGAAGCGAGAGTACTCTGTAAAAACTCTAATGGAAGTCATTAGAAAGAAATGGCTGTGGGTCAAAATTAGTCACCACCAGGAATGCTATCTAAGTTTCAGTTAAGACTAGAAATTCTACAAGTCACTCTTTCCGATTTATTCTGAATGTAAGATCGAACAGATCTTCCTGGGAAGTGACGTCGCCGTTCAAGTCTAGTCTAAATAATGAATTCTAAGTTGAATCCAATTAAAGACATCTTTAGAAAGGAAATGCTATCTAAGTTCTAATTGAAGCTAGAATGTCTACTAGAATCCCGTTCTCTGAAAATATTCGTTCACAACGTGAAACACCCTCCTGAATTGCAACTGCTCCTCAGTGTTGTTGAAGTAGAGTATACAGATGATTGATGCCAACGTGGATGCAGTATTGTTCAAGCAGAGTTGCCAGATGATTCAAACCAGCTTTGATAGGCGGTGGTGTTTGTGGTGTTGAAGCAGACGAGCCAGATGATGTGGAGCCAAGTTGACATGCAAGTATTGGAAGTAACCGCCTTGTAGAAAGCAAGCCCAACCTCCCAGGTACCACTCTCCCAAGGGGCCCGCGCGTCTTGGGCTTCGAGCCTTCCCGCCCGCGTGCTGAGCAGACCCCCACTCGACACCAAACCCGCCGCTCGGCGCCGACGATCGGCGCCGACGAGGCGTCCTTCCGAAACTTGGAGCAGTCCTGCAGCGCGCTGGAGCAGAAGGTCTCGAAGTCCAGGACCGGCCGAAAGTCTTCACAGCCCTGGTTGACAGAAAGCAACTGGCCATGGGTCAAAATCCGGTACCCGCAGTGAACATCCCAATCCCCACTAAAATAGACTAAAATGGGTGGCGCACCTACCACAGCCCTTGTTGACAGAAAACCAAGGGATGTGGGGCATAACCTTTGGCTCGATCCCATTTTGGGGCGGATGAACCTCCATTTGCCGATTTTGACGTTCACCAGGGGAAAAGGGTTTGGACCCACGGCCAAATGGATGTGGCAACCACTTTTAGTTTTTAGTGGGATGTGGCAGCCACTTGAAGTTTTTAGTGGGTGGATGTGGCAGCCACTTGAAGTTTTTAGTGGGTGGGTGTGGTAACCAATTTTATGTTTTCGCGGGGACTAGGACCAGTTCGACGCCGGCAACGGATGACCTCCCCATTCCTTTCCGCAGAAATTTGGTTGATGAGAGAAATCATGCTGGGTGCGCTTGAGGGGCGCAGCCCCGTATCAATCCGGGGTCAACATTAGGCTTGGATGGAGCACATTTTGGTTTAAAACGAGGATGTTTCGTCCGAACAAACACAGCTCCAATTGGGTTCCCTTGAAAGGCAAAAACGGGGGTTTGGGTTGGTGCTTTTGGACAGGTTCAGGGTGGGTTGAACAGGCAGGGTTCTTATGCGAATTAAGTCTGCTAATTGCATATGCTTGCTGATGCTGATTGTCCCCAATGCTCCACAGAGCCATGAAATGGTTGCGATCAAGTTTTGGTCCTCTCTTGTGAGTCCCCGGGGTTTGTTAGGGTTGGTCCAGCATGCGTATCGTCGATTGCCTCGCCAACCGGGACAAATTAGGACTCGGCTGCTCCAGCTCAGTGCGCGCCCGCCCGAGCGCGCCGCCCGGAAGCCTGGGTTCAGTCAGCGGGCGTCAGAGGCCGCCCGAGGGGCCGAGGGAATTCCACGGGATGAGCAAATTTTTGTTTTGACCACCCCCGCGAACTGAAAGCCAAATGAGAAGAGAAAAAGCGGTTGCGCAAGAAGCAAGGAGCGGCTTCGACCTTTTTTGACGACGTTTGTCGACCTCCCGGCTTTTCCCCTCAGAAAAGCCCCCGGCCCCTTGGGCAGACACCGCCCGAAGTAGCGCCTGTGGCCCGTGACCCGGTTTTTCGAAGCGCAAAGTTTTTCTTTTTCCCCCCCCCCCCCCCTTTTGTTTCCCGGCCACCCAGAGCATCCTGCCACTGAAAATGGGGGATTCGGTGATGTGCGGAGGCTTTTTTAGTTGGAGCAGGATGGGCTTCATGTTTTGGATACCTGGCACCTGGGACAAGATCCTGACTTCCGGCGGGGAACGACTCCGGCAATCAACATGGGTCCTGAGCTTCGCCAGGGTTCAAGTGCCTGGCACTTGAGCGGTTCAGTTGCCGCCTCACCCAAAGCAGAGCCCCGGCGCCGGTGATGTGGTGCCCGAAACTCGCGAAGAGATACGGTTTGGTCAAAAAGTCCCTGGTTAATGTGGGGTCGCTTGGTGGCTCCCAGCCATCCTTAGCTTTTTAGCTTTTTAGCTTTTTAGCTTTTTAGCTTTTTAGCTTTTTAGCTTTTTAGCTTTTTAGCTTTTTAGCTTTTTAGCTTTTTAGCTTTTTAGCTTTTTAGCTTTTTAGCTTTTTAGCTTTTTAGTTTTTTAGCTTTTTAGCTTTTTAGCTTTTTAGCTTTTAAGTGGGGTTTTCCATTTAGCCCACAAAACGTTTAAGCTGGGGATCTGAGGACAGCCTAGGTCGGAAAAGGTTCACTTCGCACCCTTCGTAACGGCCGGCTCATCTCTCCGAGGAGAAGCCTCCGCTGCCCACCATGCCCTGGTCACAGCCGCGGGTCGACAGGCGGGACTGCGAAAGTGGAACCCACCCATTCGGCATCAATACGCCCAGTTCGCAACGGAACCCAGATAGACGGTTTCTTTTTGATTCCAGGGAAGTGGCACTGGGTATGACTTTGAGGGAGTTGAGTTTGACTTCTGAACTGCAACTGTTGGCATCCGTTTCGTTGGTTGCAAATTGCCATGTCGACCTTTTGTCACCAAAGTGGACAGACATCGCCAACTTTGTTTCCCAGATTAGACCCGCCCGATAGAGGGCTGGGGGGTCTTCTTATTCGTTCATCAAAGGGGGGGGGTTGAACCAGGGGAGCGGGACCCCCCCCCCCTCAAATTGAAATTGCAAGCCCCCTTCCCCTTCCCGTCAAATATCAAGCCCCTGTCTGTGCGTGTTGGGTTGCGTGCGTGTGCGCAAACCCTTGCAATCGGGGCAGTCTCTCCGTAGTTCTTGAAAGGCCGATCCAATTCTCATGGAAAGGGCCCAAGCCTAAGGTTCTCAGCTTGTGGAATCAACAGGGCTTTTTGGAACGAACCGTTTGGGATTTCTTCAGGGAAACAGATTTTGGGGGGATGGTTAGTGCAGATGCCCTTATCTGAGAGCCAAGCCATTCAACATCAGGCTGCATGATTCTTACAACCCACTCCATCAATCGAGGCATTCTCTCTTCGCACATGAGTTTTGATGCAACCCACATGGAAAGTGGAGCTAACACGTACCGGGAGCCCCGGTTTTGGTTGCCTTTGTCAACAGTGCCCCGTACGAGGTTTTATTTTCCTTGGGACTTCTGGGTGAATTATAACGATCTCACACGACCTCACCCCAAATGGTGGTTTATGTGGGGAATACCCCCCAAACCACCTTGTTTCAGGCTGGTGAAGTATCATAATTCACCCAGAAATTTCCAATGTTGCTTGGGGAGCAATATGTTGGTTGCACGGGGGGGTTTTGCCCCGCCCCGCAACATGGGGGATGGGGTGGGGGGTGGGGGGGGATGGTAAGAACACGTTCCGACCGACGACCTGCCCCTGCTGCCGCCGCAGCCTCAGCCTTTTCAAGGCAAACCCCGCCAGCCACCTTCTCGTCTGCGGACCTAGGCGCACAGGATGTGTCCTCAAAGGCCGCCTTTGGCGAAATCTGGTTTGCGTCCACTCCGCAGATGCCGCAAGCTTCTCAGTGACAGCGGCCCCACTTCGCCTGGTCAAAAGCACTGCGCCGCATAGGTCGCATAGGCATTCTGGAAGCCTGGCGCTCGCACTCTCATCTTCGTGCATCAGAGTCTGAAACGGCTCGAGCGTCCACATCGCACTCCGAGTGCCAGACCGGCGTCTGCCATTCAGATTGGTTCACTCTCTCGCTCGGAAGCCGCCGAAGCCCCGAACTTGTCATGCACAGCGCTGTCGCCCCAAGAATCTGCGGGAATCCGCAAAACAATCGTCGCGACACAAGCGTGCTGCTCAGCACTTGGCTTGCGCCGCTGGATGTTGCGCAGCAACACTGCCAGGCTTGCAGCAATGTTGGCAAATGCTGACAGAGTTGAAATCAATCAATCAAGCATGTGTTCGCCATAAACACATGAATTGGGTCGTCCATGTCCGTCTCACATAGGGTTTCCAAGTATGCATCAAGAGTATCTACATTTGCCTCCCAGAATATCCTCAAGCAAGGAGCATTGCGCGGACACGGCTGTCTACACACTACCGGAAGCATCTGCTGCATCCTGCTCTTGAGCCGGCTCACGAGGCCGCACATGTTCTGCGGGGCAAGGTTCCCCCGTACAGCCAATATGTCGTTTGGAAATCTGAAGTGAGCCACTTGCTCAAAACCCGGGTAGAAAAATTATAAGGGATACTCCCCTTGCCTGAAATAGCTGCGGAGACCCGATTTCCCCGTTCCCAATGCTTGAGGCATGAATTTGGGGATCGACCATTTGATACCGGGTTTTGAGTGTGACTCATGTGGCTGTGGGTGAAAACCAATGGTACCATTGTGGGGTAGGTGAATTCACCACCCATTTTAGGCTTCCTATTTTAGTGGTTAGATTGAATCGGATGTTCACTGGGGCTATCCGGGCTTTTGACTCCATGGCCATGTAGGTGTTCAATTCAAAGGGTTTGTTTCCGCCTTGCCAGCCGCCCCATCGCTCGCATCTACGCGGCGGTGCGGGCAAAGGACTGCGACTCCGCGACGCGTTTAGAAGGCGTTGGTGTCCTGCAAGAGAAATGCGACCGGTGCCTTTTTGGGGTTGGTTTAAAGGTACACCCTTTGCCCCTTCCAGACAAAGGGTGCATGGACGTCCCCTACAAAACGGCGCCGCCGCCGAGTTTTGGCGTGTTTGGAGGGTACCGGAACATCCGTTCTCTTGTAGGGTTTTCCAGGTGAGTTTCCTGCAAACCATCCCACAACAACGCTTACTGGTGCTCAGCAGGGAACGACCCAAGGTGTTGGGCATGAACCGGCAGGGGATTCCCTCAAAGGAACCCATAGGGGGATGGTTTATGGGGGTCATTCCCTCGCTCCCTGCTGAGAACCACTAGAGTTCCCCCTGGGAATGACCTGACCTGGGAATGACAAAGGCTCCGCCATGTGAGGAGCCTCCCCCGGAGAGCGACAGCGAGAGCGACTTGAGCGGCAGCCGGGGGCTTCGGAGCGCGTGGAGTCGAAACGTGGGGGCCATTTGTTTAATAAGTATTTTATTAAGAATGGTTTCAAGGCTTTGTTTTTTTAAAGAATGGCTTCAAGGCCCTGACTACCTTTCAAGGGGACCCAAAAGGTTGAGTAACACTTTCGCTGGGTTCCAGCACCTGACAAAAAAATAGATGAGCGTCCTGTGCAAGCTAGAGAACGGTAGCCAATATGTGAGAACCTGTTCAACGGGTGCCCTGAACAGGACGTTGTCTAAAGATTCGTTGCAGGGTCGAAATCTCTGAATCGGCCCAACAGGCTGACCTGATTGACCTTTTGATCGGAGTGGCTGGTGAGAACTAGGTGGGCAAGCCATTGGTGGTCAACCGCCAGCTTGAAATTTCATGTCGTTCCGTGCAAAGCGCAGCTTGGGCCAGGACTCTTTATGGCGCGTGTGTTTTTTGAGGGTGCCCTTCTCATAATTGAAAGAGAAACCAAAGGGAACACCGAATTCGCAATTTGGGGGGGGGGTTCCGACTTTCAATGTTGAGACGCCCACATTTCTTGGCTGAATTTGTGTCCACTCGAGGAACCGCAGGCCAAAGAGCATAGGAATCGGAAGGATTTGACGACTTCAAGTGGCGGCTTTCTTGTCTGGAAGAGTGCGGCCTTTGCCGTCATTTCATTTGGGTCTGTCCTTTTTTCGGGCCTTCGCTTTTTGGTGGTTTTAAAGAGAAACTCAAAGGAAAGCCATCATTTTGGAGGGTCACCTAACAAGCACACACACACACAGAAGTACCCATGTTGCTTTTCAATTCCTGGTATGCTGCTGCGTTCATTTGTTTCCCCCCATTGTTGCCATTGGGTTTCTGACCCTAGCTTTTGTTTGGGCCGAACAGTCCCTTCACTGTTGCTGGCATGTTTTCAGGTTTTATGTTGTTTGG